CAGGGGTCCTGGCGTCCCTCTCTGCCTCGCGGCGCCGCCTCGGCCCCGCCAGGAAGCGAGCTCGGCCCAGGAATTTCGGGTGGAAAAATGTCCCGGAAAGTTACAGGGGGAGGAGGCCGAGGCGGGGAGGGCTGCGGGACGCTCGGACCCGGGGCCGGACGAGTAGCTCCGGGGGACGGCTGAGAACACAGAGACCCTTCACCCGAGGGCAAGGGGCGGGGACTGCGGCCGGATTTGGCAGCTGCTTCTGGGCGGGATTGGAGGGGGTCGGTGAGAGACAGGCCTGGGAGGGGCAGGCCCCGGCCCGGAGGGGCGCCCTGGCCCAGACAGCGGGACCGTCGGCGGGCTGAGGAGACCTGGTGGCCTCTTTGGGATCTTCATCCACCTCACCACCACCTTGCTTGACGTCAATTTTTTAGAGCCCCAGACCCTCTTTGAAGAGGGATTTCAGCCCTGGGGATGGAGTGAGTGTCCGTGCGACTCCCCACCTTACGGCGGGACCCAGAGCAGCTGGGCTTTCCGTGGTAAAACCCCCACCCCTTGAGACTTCTCTGGACGCTCAGCGGAGGAGGTGTGGGGTGCCCAGCAGCTGTGAGGGGGCCATCCCCTTCGGGAGTGGGTGTTGAGCCTAGCTGCAGTGGGAGGTACTCTAGGGGAATCCCTTTCCTGCAGCTGCGGGTGGCCTCTTGCTTGGTCCCTAGACAGTCTACCTCTGGAGATTTTAGTGGGTGGGGGTGAGAGACATGGCCCCACCCTGCCTGCAGAATTCATTCTGAGCCACTTGTCCTCCAAAGCACCTATCACACGTGGCTCAGAGCTAAGGGACCTGAGGTCACCTGGTCTAACTCAACTCCTCCTCCTTGAGGAGGAAGCAACCCAGAGAGAGAAGGGGATTTGTCCAAGGTCAACAGAGCATTCTTTCTGCTATTCCAAGGAGTTCCTTCTCATAACCACCCCCTTCTCCACACAAAACCAGCACCTCTCTGGATCCTGTGGCTTTGCTGCCATGTCGTGTAGGTCCTGTGTGCTGCGGTGTCCACAAGCCCCATGTGATCTCTTCTGTGTGCCATGTCCTCCTCGGTGTTCCATATGCCAACATCCTGGGACCCAGGCCCCTAGCACCCAGCATGTTCTGTGTCTCATGTCTGGGCACCACATACACATGACCCTGCTTTCCCTCTCAGTCCTGCAGACGTAGTGGGGGAAAAATGATCTTACCTTACCCTGCTGGCTCTGACCTCCTGTGGCCCATTCCCTGCAGGCCCTGGGCAGTGACGGGGTACGGGTGACCATGGAGAGTGCACTGACCGCCCGTGACCGGGTGGGAGTACAGGATTTTGTGCTGCTGGAGAACTTCACCAGTGAGGCAGCCTTCATCGAGAACCTGCGGCGGCGGTTCCGAGAGAACCTCATTTACGTGAGGCCCAAGTGGAGAGATGGGTGGGGGTACTGGGAGACAGGGACACAGGGGTGAGGGAGGTGCCAAAGGCCTCTGGGGCAAACTTCTGACCTTCCTCCCCCTACCCACAGACCTACATTGGCCCCGTCCTGGTCTCTGTCAACCCCTACCGGGACCTACAGATTTATAGCCGGCAGCACATGGAACGTTACCGTGGTGTCAGCTTCTATGAAGTGCCACCCCACCTGTGAGTGATCCCCAACCCCTCCAGGAGTGACTCCCCCATCTCCATCTGAGATGATCCCACCCAACCTTCACTCTAAAATGATCCCTGACCTCCCACTTGGGTGAGTCACTATTCACATCTCTGAGGAATTCCATAATCTCTTATCCCAGAGTGACCCCAATCCCCACCAGAGATGAATCTCTCAATTCTATCTTTTGGGACCATGAGCCCCTACCCCAACTCACACCCATGATTTATCCCCCAACTGTACCTGGGCATGATCCCCCAACCTTAGTGACCTCTTCCCCCGCCTACAAGGACCTCCCAGCCCTTCCTGTGAGTGACCATAACCTTCACCTGAATGACCACCAACACCCCCACCTGTGAGTGATCCTCTCAATCCTCCATCTGAAAGTGACACCCATCTCAACTGTTAAGGATCTCCCTTGATCCACATCCATGAGGGACCCCCAACCCCCATTTCAAGGTTTTATACATGACTCTCACCCATAAGTAAACTCCAACCAGATATGGCAGTGGCCCCTTCAGTCCTATGTGTGGTACTCCACCACCTTTGGCCACTTGGCTCCCCACCCCCTGACGAGCCTCTGCCCCAGGTTTGCCGTGGCCGACACTGTGTACCGGGCACTACGCACGGAGCGCCGGGACCAGGCAGTGATGATCTCAGGGGAGAGCGGGGCAGGCAAGACAGAGGCCACCAAGAGGCTGCTACAGTTCTATGCAGAGACCTGCCCAGCCCCTGAGCGGGGGGGCGCTGTACGGGACCGGCTGCTGCAGAGCAATCCTGTGCTAGAGGTGAGGAGACAGCAGCACATGAAGGGAGGGAGAGGCAGGAAGAGAATGCCAGGCATCCCTCACACCCCCATCCACTCCTAGGCCTTTGGAAATGCCAAGACCCTCCGTAACGATAACTCCAGCAGGTTTGGGAAGTACATGGATGTGCAGTTTGACTTCAAGGTACGTGTGGGTGTGTCAGGACAGGGAGTGGGATTTCCATTCAGTAGGCTCAATATTTATTGAGCAGCTACTATGTGCCAGGCACTGTTCCAGGTGCTGGTGGTACATCAGTGAAACAAAACAGACCAAAATCCTGCCTCCTGGGGCAATAGACAGTAAATTAAAAAAATAATTTAGGTGGCAAGTGCCATGGCAGAAAATAAAATGAGGTAAGGGTGGGAGGCAGTTGCAATTCTAATAAGGCAGATAGGATAGGCCTCACTGAAAAGGTGACATTTTAGTAAAGGCTTGACAGAGATGGGGGAGCAAGCTGTGCAGATACCTGGGGCACCGAGTCCAGGCAGCGGGAATAGCCAGTGCAAAGGCCTTGAGGTAGGACGGTTTTTGGTGCGTTCAAGGACAGCAAGGAGGCCAGGATGGCCAGAGAAGACAGCAAGGGGCCAAGGAACAGGAGGGGAGGCCAGATGATGCAGGCCCTTTTGGGTCTTTGCGAGAAATTTGTTTTTAAACTCAGTGGAACGGGGCTTTGAACAGAAATGTGTCATGACACAACTTTCCTTCTACAAAGATCACTCTGGCTACTTTGTTGGAAATAAGTGGTAGGGGAATCAGTCCAAGCAGGGAAACTGGTTAGGAGGCTAATGTAGTAATGTAGGTGACAGATGACAATGGCTCAATGAGGTGGCAGTGGGTGGATTCTGAATGTTTTGAAGGTTAAAGCAACAGGATTGGTTGTCTGACTGGATGTAAGGTATGGAAGAAAAAGAAGCTTCCAGGAGGACTGCATACTTTTTGTCCTGAACAACTAGAAAGACTGAGTTGCCATTGACCAAGATGGGAAAACACTAGCAGGAGATAGTTTGAGGAGGGGGAGGTTAGGAGTACAATTTCAAGCCTGTTGAATTCGAGATGCCTGTCAGGCATCCAAGTGTAGGTGCCGAGTAGATGGGGTTAAATCTCCCCATTTCTTAGATGAAGAAACTGAGGCCACAGGGAAGGACATGCCTGAGCCCACACAGCTAGTGGCAGAGCTGACATTAGAGCCCAAGTCTGGCTGATTCCAAAGCCCAGGAGTATAGGGGAGGGAGGGTAAGATGGACTGTATTCCCCAGTCCCCATGACCAGTCCCCATGCCCGGCACTGCCCACAGGGTGCCCCTGTGGGTGGCCACATCCTTAGTTACCTCCTGGAGAAGTCCCGAGTGGTGCACCAGAATCATGGGGAGCGGAACTTCCACATCTTCTACCAGCTGCTAGAGGGGGGTGAGGAGGAGACACTGCGCAGGCTGGGCTTGGAACGGAACCCTCAGAGCTACCTGTACCTGGTGAAGGTGAGTGGCTGGCAGGCAGGGCAAGTGCCCCCAGGGGGCATGGTGCCAGGGCTGGCAACCCAGCTGTACCCTTCCTCTAGGGCCAGTGTGCCAAAGTCTCCTCCATCAATGACAAGAGTGACTGGAAAGTCGTCAGGAAGGCACTGACAGTCATCGACTTCACCGAGGATGAAGTAGAGGTGAGGCCTCTTCTGGGAACCCTCCCTTTCCCCTGTCACATTGGCAAAATCACCTCCTTTCTTTTCCCTAATGACTGGCCAGCACAAGGATCCAAACCCTTGACCTTGGTGTTTCACTTTCTACTTTTAAAACCCATTTCCACTTCTAGCCCCCTTCCATTCTCAAATGCTTTACCACCTACTCCCTGCTCCCTATGACTGGCTATCAGTTGCCCTCGTGGGGCTCTTTGCCTCCCGCCCCTATAACCCCCACCTATCCCCTGCCTGCTCCCCCAGGACCTGCTGAGTATCGTGGCCAGCGTCTTGCATTTGGGCAACATCCACTTTGCTGCCGATGAGGAGAGCAATGCCCAAGTCACCACTGAAAACCAGCTCAAGTATCTGACCCGGGTGAGTGGGGTGGGCAGAAGGTGAGGGCTGGGGCAGCTGGAGCGAAGGGGAATGTACCCTCACCACGCCACCCACACCCCAACCCTTGGCAGCTCCTTGGCGTGGAAGGCTCGACGTTGCGGGAGGCCCTGACACACAGGAAGATCATCGCCAAGGGAGAAGAGGTGAGGCCAAGCCCTTGCCTCAGGAGTTGTGGGGGTGCAGGTGTTCCAAGGCATCATTCTCCCTTCACCTGGTCCACTCAGCTGGTCCTCTCAGCAGTGCTGGAGGGACATAGGCAGGTGGCTCAGAGAGGCACAGTGACCTGGCTAAGGTCACACAGGAAAAGCATGACAATCAGGCTGGAACCGAGACTTGCACCTCCAGGAATGAAGCCTCCTTCCCTCTGGTGTGGCCACTCTGTCCTCCCCTGATGTCCCACCACCACCACTCCCCAACCCCCAGGCTCAGCTGGGAGGGCAGGATGGTCAAAGTTTCCTGGTTGTCTGCCTGAGCCTGAAGGGGAGGTAGGAGGGGAGGGAGTCTGTGGCTTTCATCTCCTAGTCTCACCCTGCACTGACAGCTCCTGAGCCCGCTGAACCTAGAACAGGCTGCGTATGCGCGAGACGCTCTTGCCAAGGCTGTATACAGTCGCACTTTTACCTGGCTCGTCGGGAAGATCAACAGGTCACTGGCCTCCATGGTGAGGGCTGCTTCTACACTGTTTCCAAGGCAGGCAGGGTGGGTGTTCCAGGGAAGCCTGGGGCTGGGAGCTCGGGGTTGGCAAACATTGGAACCCATGCTCTTGGTTGCATGACTGGCCCTAGGACGCTGAGAGCCCCAGCTGGCGGAGCACCACAGTTCTTGGGCTCCTGGACATTTATGGCTTTGAAGTGTTTCAGCATAACAGGTCAGCACCAACCTTAACCCCTGCCTGTCTCTCCTCCTGTCTCTCCTCCTGTCTCCCCCCCGTACTGGTCCCTCTCCTCTGTCCCCCTGCCTCCCTCCCTCTTTCCTGCCCAATCACTCCCCCAGCCAGTCTGGGTCATGCTCTGTGTTTCTTTCTTTCTTTTCTTTTTTTCTTTCTTTTCTTTCTTTGCTTCCTTTTCTTTCTTTCTTTTTCCCTGCTCTTTGTTTCTTACCTTAGCTGCTTAGGGGCCTCATCCTTAGGGGCGTTCTGGTCCTTTGTCTCCCTTGAGCTACTATGGGCGCTTCTATTTCCCCCACAGCTTTGAGCAATTCTGCATCAATTACTGCAACGAGAAGCTGCAGCAGCTTTTCATCGAGCTCACACTCAAGTCAGAACAAGAGGAGTATGAGGCCGAGGGCATCGCGGTACGTGCACACCTGTGGGTGCCCCATGTGCCACAGGAAGCTCAGGAGTGGGCCTCCTGGGGAGAGGGTGCTAGAACCCTTGTTGATGCCTTCCTTCCCCTCTATACCCCTTTACCCCTCAGTGGGAACCTGTCCAGTACTTTAACAATAAGATCATCTGTGACCTGGTGGAGGAGAAGTTCAAGGGCATCATCTCCATTTTGGTGAGTCCTCTGCTCCTCCAAGGCCCCATGTTGTGGGCTGGGTGGGAGGACTTCACCCCCTTCCCTTCCCCTTTCTCTCCAGGCCAGTCCACAGAGGGCCAGCGTTTGGGGCTAAGCAGGGACAGGGCAGGGCTGTTGTGTGGAGGGTGAGGTGAGGTGCTGGCCCTGTCTAGAAGCTCTCTCTGGGTGGCTCCCCGTGATCTCCCCCTTTCCCCTGTGTCTGTGCCTCCTGCACGGTGCCCCGGAATCTTCTGTACCCTCTCACCCCTCTCCTGATACACCCCTCACTCTGTGCTACACCCCCAGGATGAGGAGTGTCTGCGCCCTGGGGAGGCCACGGATCTGACCTTCCTGGAGAAGCTGGAGGACACAATCAAACACCATCCCCACTTCCTGACGTGAGTGTGGTCTGCAGGGCTGCTTGGGGGCAAGGGTGCCCTTGGGGCAGAGCCTGTGGCAGGTTCCTAAAACACCAGCCCCAAGGAGAAGTCTGGAGCAGGTACCAGTTAAGGACAATTGCCCAAAGCCACAGCTCATGGTGCATCTAGAAAGAAAGAAGCTAGTAGCATGGCTTTTTTCTTATTCTTTTTTGAGAATGAAACTTACTGAAATTCTTTTAGCTTCCTTATTTGGAAATTGCTTTTAATTTAAGGAATCCCCTAAAGTGGAGAGGGGTAGAAACAGAAACAAGCACCTCTGTCCCAGCTCTGTCCAGAGTGTTTTGCGCACATCATCTCTTAACATATGGTGACCCTTTAGGGAGGTGTTCTTGGTGTTTTCTCCATTTTACTGAGGCCCTAAAAAGTGAAGTCATTTGCCCAACATTATCATTATCCCACATCTGGATTGCAGGGCTGGGGCTCAGTCCCAGGGCTGTCAAAAGCCAAAGCCCTGAGCATTTTTTGCTTAATAGTATGTTAAAAACTTGTTTCTGATTATAAAAATAATATTGCTCATTAGAGAAAAGTTGGAATGTGTGCAAAAGCCACTTGTAATCCTGTCACCCAGAGGTCATCATTGTTAACAATTTGAGGCATTTCCTTCCTGCCTTTTTCTATACATTTTTTTTTTCATAGTCAGGAACTTATTGTGTATAAGGCTCAGGATAGCGTTATATCCTGAGTGTTTTCCTGTATCATCAAATAGAAAACTTTCCTCAAAACACTTCCTCCAATGGCTCTAACCCATAGATATTACACTGCTCTCACCCAGTCTTTGGGGGCCCCTGGCCAGCCTCCTGGTTTCTGCTGGAACAACAAGGCTGCCACAAACATCTTGCTGCCTTAAATCTTTGTCCGTAGTGTTGTAACACCAATGTTAAGGGTTTGGATCCCCGAACCAGCCAGCTGCCAAAAAAAAATTATGAATAAATAAATAAAAATTTTAAAATGGGCTGGCTAGCTCAATTGGTTAGAGTGAACCCTTATAACACCAAGGTCACAGGTTTGGATCCCCTTACCAACCAGCCACCAAAAAAAAAAAAAGAAAGAAATCTTTGTCTATCTCTGGTTAGTGCTTGGAATAGTTCTTCCTTTTTTTTTTTTTTTCTTTTGCCAGCTGGCTGGTATGGGTATTCGAGCCCTTGACCTTGGTGTTATCAGCACATGCTCTCCCAAGTGAGCTAACCAGCCAGTTCCCTGGAATAGTTCTTAAAAGTAGAAAATGGGCTAAAGGGTGCTTAAGACTTAAGTAATCTCTTGGGACAGATTCCATTCTGAAAACAGAGTGGGCAGCTCACCACCTTCTGAGCAGGCATGCAGCAGCCAGAGGCAATGGAAGTTGCTCTCCACCCAGCGTGCCTAGCAGTCTGGAGCTCGGTCCCAGATCCTGCACTGTGTGACCCTGGGCACAGCCATCTACCTCTCTGAGCCTTAACAAAATCTCCTCTGTTCATGGGGTGCTGCAGGCCCTGCCCCACTTGCCATATAGCATGTGGGTTGTGGGATGGCCCTGCAAGTATGCCTGCTCCTTGCTGGGTGGCTCGTTCCTGCTCTCAAGGTTGCATCAGCAGGCAGAAGGCAAGGCTCAGGTCAGAAATCTGTAGCTCGCATTCTGGAGCAGAGACTAAAATACAATCAGACGAGGGACAGCCTGCAGCCTGGGGTGAGGGACCACTTGGCAAAAACTTGCGTGGATTATGACTGAGGAACAGAGTTTGCCAGCATGGACTAATCAAGGAATAGGATCTGATGATAATATTAAGAATAACCACAATAATAGCTTATACTTATATAGTGTTAACTGCATACCAGGCATTGTTCTAAGCCCTTTACTTAAGTGAATGTATTTAATCCTCACAATAACCTGATGAGGTAGGTACTGTTCTTATTTGTAATTTGGAGATAAGGAAATTAACTCACAGAAAAGCTACATAACCTTACTAAGGGTACACACCAAGCAGGTGACTGTGCTGAGTTCTGAATCCAGGCGGTCTCTGCTGAGTCCCTGTACTCTATGGCCTCTCTGTATCCCCGTTGCCTCCTGATCCAGAATTTAGCTACCACTGGCAGGAAAGTGGGCATGGGGTGATTATTAGTTTCCTATGGCTGCTGTAACAAATTACCACAAATTTAGTGGCTTAAAACAACACAAATTTATTATCTTACAGTTCTGGAGGTCAAGTCTAAAATGGGTTCTACTAGGCTAATCTCAAGATGTCATCAAGGCAGCGTTCCTTCTGGAAGCTCTAGGGGAGAATCTGTTTCTTTGCTTTTTCTAGCTTCAACAAGTCTCCTGCATTCCTTGGCTCATGCCCCTTCCTCCGTCTTCAAGGCCAGCAGTGTAGCGTTTTCCAGTCTAACTATGACGTCTGCTTCTACTGTCACATCATCTGATACTTTCTTTCTCCCTCTTTCACTTATAAGGACACTTGTGATTACACTGGACCCACCTAGATCATCCAGGATGATCTCTCCATCACGAAATCTTTAACTTAATCACATCTGCAAAGTCCCTTTTGCCACGCAAGGAAACATATTTACAGATTCTGGGCATTAGGACATGGACATCTTTAGAGAACCATTATTCTGCCTACCATACGGTGACAAAGAGTTGTCTCAGATTTAATTTTGACCACCTAGCCCAGCAGAAGGAAGATTCAAAATACATTTTCAGGGCCGGCCCGGTGGCGCACTGCTACAGTGCACCGCTTGGGAGCGCGGCGGCGCTCCCGCCGAGGGTTCGGATCCCACATACAGACCGGTTCCCACTCACTGGCTGAGCGAGGTGCGGGTGCGACCCCGAGGGTTGCGATCCCATTGCCAGTCCTGGTCCGGTGCGGGCGCGACACTGAGGGTTGCGATCCGTGACACTGAGGGTTGCGATCCGTTGCCGGACACGAAAAAAGACAAAAAAAAAGGAAAAAAAAAAAAAAGAAATCTAAATTTGAAATTATTGCTTGCTATTTCAGCTTGATTGAATAACATTTTTGATTCATTTTTGGCCCCAATACTAATTTTGGGAGTTAGACATGATTTGAAGGACAGTAGGAAATAGGACTAAGTCTATACTTGATATCCAAAGCACACCAAATAGCAGCTTATTTTGACCACTATGTTTCTCACATTTAGCTGACCAGCGGACCAGGAAGTCTCTGGGCCGCGGGGAGTTCCGCCTTCTGCACTATGCTGGGGAGGTGACCTACAGCGTGACTGGTGAGGATCCCAGGGCTGCGTCCCCACAGGGGCAGGGAACAGGGCTCTCCCTCACCCCACATCTGCTCTCCTCTCTTAGGGTTTCTGGATAAAAACAATGACCTTCTCTTCCGGAATCTGAAGGAGGTAAGGAGAACACAGGGGAGGGCTCGGGGTGGGGTGTGAGGGAGCCTACAGCTCTGTATGCACCTCTTCTCAGGAATCTGTCCTACCTGCTCCCATCCTCACTTCCTACTCTTCCCTCACAGACCATGTGCAGCTCGAAGAATTCCATCATGGGCCAGTGCTTCGACCAGAGCGAGCTCAGTGACAAGAAGCGGCCAGAGACGGTGCAGAGGCTTGGGACCCAAGGGGGCGTGTGTGTGTGCCTGAGCATGGATGAGAGCATGAGCCTGGGAGTTGGAGTGTGCATGTGCACATGTGTGTTTGTCGGTGCCTGTGTGTATATCTGTGTGTGTCTGTAGGGGACTGCCCATAGGTGCTCTTTGCCTACTTCCATGTGTGTGCCTGTGTGTCCACCTGCCTCTAATATGGGCCCCTGTGTGTATGCCTGTGTCTGTAGGGGAATCCATGTGTACACCTGTCTCTGTGTGTGCACATGCATGGGTTCACCCACTTAGCAGACATTTGTAGCAGACATTGCTGAGCACTGAGGATGCAAAAATGAAAAGGTACCATCACAGAAATGTGCACAGGTGCTTTGGAAACTTAGAAGCAGCAGCAGCAAATTGCTGAGGAAGTAGAAGGGGCGAGGGGGTCAGGGAAAGCTCCCTTGAGGAGGAAGCATTTGTGATAAGTTGGGAATGAGTAAGTGCTTGTCAGATGGTCCTATGGGAGGGCACTGTAGGCAGGAAAAGGGCCCAACAGACACACAGAGTCCAGAACAGACCAGGAGCTTGGCAGGAGAGCGATATCATTGAGGAGAGGGGCTGGGAAAGGAAGGTGTGACCAGAAGTGCCAGATGCAGGGAGAGCTCCCATGAGTTGAGGACAGAGGTACAGCTGTTGGGCTTGGCAAGGGGAAGGTCAGGGTGGCCCCACGAGGAGTGAGGTCAGTAGGGACATAGAAGCCACAGTGCTGAAGACTGAGACATGCTTGCCAGGGAGGGCATGGAGGCATCATGTTGCCCAGGGTCTGGCTCCCTGGGACCCTGCCCTCTGCTTCTGTTCACCTCACCCTCTCCCTGAGCACCCTTATCCTCCTGGCCTCAGTATCTCCCCACTGAGGTTGCCTGTACACCCACTTCTGCCTGGGCCTCTCCAGCAAGCCACAGATTCATGTGACCAAGTGGTCCCTGGGTACCCCAGGCTCCACTGGTTTGTAATGAATGGACCCTTGGTTGCCTAGTCCCCTGGCTTGCTCCTTCTGTGTCCCTAACTCAGGACAAGGATCACACTCCACCCAGTCCCCCCAGCCAGGAACCTGAGCATCATCCCTGGTTCTAAACTCCCCCCATCTCTCTCATCCAGTCACTGCCCCTTGCATGTTTCTATCGCTGAGTGCTTCTCAACTTCTTCCCCTCAGTCTCTTCCCCATAACCAGTGCTCCAGGTTGGTCCTTGTTCTCTCTCCTCTTAGCCAGCCGGCCTCCTTCCTGGCTTCTTGGCTTCTCATCTGCCCCTAGTGACCCATCCTCTTCATATCTGCTGAGATATTCCACAGTGCAAACCTGTTTCTATTGCTCCCTCACTCCAAATTCCTCATTGGCTCCCTGTTCCCTGTTTCCCTCAGGATAAAACTCAGTCTCCTCAATGTGACTCGCCCACAGTACTGCCTCTGTCTGCCTCTCTAGCCACACTTTTTTTTTTTTCCTTTTTGTCTTTTTTACTGACCGGTAACGGGATCGCAACCCTCGGTGTCGTGCCCGCACCGCGCTCAGCCAGTGAGCGGGAACCGGTCTCCACATGGGATCCGAACCCTCGGTGGGAGGATATTCCACAGTGCAAACCTGTTTCTATTGCTCCCTCACTCCAAATTCCTCATTGGCTCCCTGTTCCCTGTTTCCCTCAGGATAAAACTCAGTCTCCTCAATGTGACTCGCCCACAGTACTGCCTCTGTCTGCCTCTCTAGCCACACTTTTTTTTTTTTCCTTTTTGTCTTTTTTACTGACCGGTAACGGGATCGCAACCCTCGGTGTCGTGCCCGCACCGCGCTCAGCCAGTGAGCGGGAACCGGTCTCCACATGGGATCCGAACCCTTGGCGGGAGCGCCGCCGTGCTCCTAAGCGGCGCACTCTCCAGTGCGCCACCGGGCTGGCCCTCTAGCCACACTTTTTAACTCCTCATCTGAATCCTTGCACTACTTGTAGGTCCCTGTGTACTGCAAGCCTTTGCTCAGGCTGTCCCTCTGCCTAGAATGTTTTTCTCTCCTCTCTTCCTTTCAGCCATCTCCTACTTATCCTTTTTGGTTTTCTTTCTCTTTCTTTTTTTTGCAGCTGGCTGAACACTTGACCTTGGTGTTATAACACTATGCTCTAACCAGCTGAGCTAGTCGGCCAGCCCCCTCCTTATCCTTTAAACCTCACTGAAGGGCCACTTAGAGAAGGGCTCTCTTGATGCCCTCTACCCCACAGACTGAATTACTTGTTCGTTTGTGATGCTCCCAGAATTCCCCAGCATGCAGCCTGTTACTAATGGACCAGAAGGGATTGCACATCTTTGCTAAGGATTCTGCGGCTCTCACAGGCCTGACATCTTGAAGGCCCTGTAGAGCAGGGTTAACGATAATGGTTGAGTGCATAGCTGTAGGATACATTGTTTAGGAATGTAGCCCTGAAGTTTTAGAAAGAAAAAGAGCGGTTGCTAAAGGGAGATGTAGGATTGTAGGATGAGGGTTGTCTGGAGACCTGAGCAGGATTTTTAGGCTGGACGAGGTTCCTAAACTGCGGTCTGTCCAGCATGGGGGATATGGGGTGGAACCTGGCCCTTCCTCTATTGGGAGGGAGAGGTGGTGCGAGGAAGTAGGGGCTAAGCGGAGGCGGGCTACTGCTGCACAGGTCAACAGCTTTGGGGAATGGGGGCTCTGCAGGGGTCTGCGGCCTCAGCCCGGCTCTGGCCAACTTCCCTTTCCCTCTTGACGCCAGGTCGCCACCCAGTTCAAGATGAGCCTCCTGCAGCTGGTAGAGATCCTGAAGTCCAAGGAGCCCGCCTACATCCGCTGCATCAAACCTAATGACGCCAAACAGCCGGGTAGACTCCTCCCGCCCCATGGGGCTGCAGGGGCTGGGACCCCCTGCAGGGGCGACGGGCCATCTGTCAGCACAAGCCCACTGACCACCCCATTACCCCTCTCCAGGCCGCTTTGACGAGGTGCTGATCCGGCACCAGGTGAAATACCTGGGGCTCATGGAGAACCTGCGCGTGCGCAGAGCAGGCTTTGCCTACCGCCGCAAATACGAAGCTTTCTTGCAGAGGTGGGGGCAGGGCCCAGCTCACCGCCGGGGAAGGGGACTGGAGGATAGGAGTCCCCTAAGTCTCATGAGGGAGTACATAGATTCTCAGACACATTTTATTTTATTTAGGGAGAGAGAGAGAGAGAGAGGGAGAGAGAGAGAGGAAGAGAGAGAGAGAGAGAGAGAGAGAGAGTGTGTGTGTGTGTGTGTGTGTGTGTATGTGTGTGTGAGAGAGAGAGAGAGAGAGAGAGAGAGAGTGTGTGTGTGTGTGTGTGTGTGTGTATGTGTGTGTGAGAGAGAGAGAGAGAGAGAGAGAATGAGGTCTAGTAGAATAAGACAATTTATTGAAGTCACTGCATGTGCAGATCTGGAGAGAGAAGCACAGACAGGATATGAATGTATCAACACCACACTCTAACCAACTGTGCTAACCAGCCAGCCCTATCAGCCCCCATTTTAGAGATAAGGGCGCTGAGGCTCTGAGCTGCTGTGGGCCCACACTAGGGACCCCTCCCTGCTGCAGGCCTGGCAGAGAGAACACCAGGCTCCCTGTAGGCCCTGCCCTCCTGCAGCACCTGCTCAGGGGTATATGAGGCATGCATCCACATGCCCATCACCAGAGGCAGATGGTAACAAGCCTAGGAGGAGGACAGTTTCCAAGGAGCTCAGAGAGCACAGAGCAGTTTTGTGGTTGTTCTGAGTTAGGGGTCTGGGAAGTCAATCAGGGTGTGAATTCTATCTCTGCTACTTTCTAGGCCCTTGGCCTTAGGCAGAGGAGAATACTTTGGTTTTCTCATCTTTAAAATGGAGGCAGTCAGACAAAAAAAAAAAAAAAGGGGGCTGGCCCGGTGGCACACTGCTACAGTGCGCCGCTTGGGAAGCGCGGTGGCGCTCCTGCCGAGGGTTCGGATCCCACATACAGACCGGCCGCTCACTGGCTGAGCGAGGAGCGGGGGCAACACCGAGGGTTGCGATCCCGTTGCCGGTCCCGGTCCGGTACGGGCGCGACACTGAGGGTTGCGATCCGTTGCCGGTCACGAAAAAAAAAAAAAGACAAAAAAAAAATAATAATAAAATAAATAAAATAAAATGGAGGCAGTAACAGAGTGATCTCCAGGCTTCTTTGAGCTGTGAGCAAGTTAGCAGGAGCTGGCGCCCCAGGAAAGCTGGTTTTGGCCCAGAGAAGGGCACTGGCTGGGGTGGGGCCTGGGTTTATTCCTGGTGCTCCTGTCCCCAGGTACAAGTCACTGTGCCCAGAGACATGGCCCATGTGGGCAGGACGGCCCCAGGATGGAGTGGCTGTGCTGGTCAGACACCTCGGCTACAAGCCAGAAGAGTACAAGATGGGCAGGTGAGTGGTGCCCACACCTGGTGTCTGGGGGGGGGGGAATGGGGTGGCAACCAGAAGCTGATCACTGCTGCCCTCCCAGGACCAAAATCTTCATCCGCTTCCCCAAGACCCTATTTGCCACAGAGGATGCCCTGGAGGTCCGGCGGCAGAGCCTGGGTGAGAGAAAGACCCGCCCTTCCTGTCCCATTGGGGTCTGTTCTGGGGAGCAGGGATGAAGTCACTGCATTTGGGCTCCTTCTCCAGGAAGCCCACTTAGCCCACATTCAGCAACCCCTCTTTCTTTCCAGCTCCAGCCCCACACCCGCCCTCCAGCCTGCCCCCTGGATGCAAACCTTGAGCATATTCCTGCATTCATTTGCTCTCTTTCATTTCCTCTCTCCTAACTCACTCATCCTCTCACTCGGTAACTCATTCAGCCACTCCCTCATTTATGCCACTCATTGAGGTCTGACAGTACCAGGCTTCAGCTGGTCCCCCTGAACTCTGGCCACGTGACCTTCTTTCCCACCCACAGCCACGAAGATCCAGGCCGCTTGGAGGGGCTTTCACTGGCGGCAGAAATTCCTCCGGGTGAAGCGATCAGGTTTGGGGGTGCAGGGGTCTTCAGGAGGGGCAGGGTCCGGGATTAGGGTGGGCCAGTGTGGTGGGGAGATCGAGGTCAGCCATCTGCTATCTCCACAGCCATCTGCATCCAGTCATGGTGGCGTGGAACACTGGGCCGGAGGAAGGCAGCCAAGAGGAAGTGGGCAGCACAGACCATCCGGCGGTGAGCGCAGGGGTGCCATGAAGGGGCCGCAGAGCAAGGTGTGTATGGGGGTCCATTACCAGGTTTCTCACCCCAACCCTGACCAGCCCCCCACTCCCAGGCTCATCCGTGGCTTCATCCTGCGCCACGCACCCCGCTGCCCTGAGAATGCCTTCTTCCTGGACCATGTGCGTACCTCTTTTTTGCTGAACCTGCGGCGGCAGCTGCCCCGGAATGTTCTGGACACCTCCTGGCCCACGCCCCCACCTGCCCTGCGCGAGGTCTGTGGGCCCTCCCTGCTGAGTTAGGGATCATAAAAGTGCTTGGCAGAGGGGTCTGATTATCCTGTGGCCAGAGGAGCAGTGAGGGAGGGCTCACCAAAGGAGGGGAAGGGGAGGTGGGCCATGAGGAATGGAAGTGTTGTCTGGCTGAGCAGCATTGCTTACACAAAGGCCTGGTGGTGAGCATATGTTTGCTGTCTTCAGAGGGAAGGGAGCCAGGCTGTCTAGGTGCTCTGACTCTGCTCTTCCCCACAGGCCTCAGAGCTTCTACGAGAGTTGTGCATAAAGAACATGGTGTGGAAATACTGCCGGAGTATCAGCCCAGAGTGGAAGCAGCAGGTATGGGGAGCAGGAGACAGGCGAGGACTAGATAGTGGGGGCAGGTAGCAGCAGGCATCACTTACAGAATGCTGGCCTGGGGGAGCATCTTACCCCTGAGTTACTGTATGACCTCAAATGGATCCCAGCCCCTATTGGGCTCCATGTAGGAATTAGAGGCTGGAGTAGATTTGGGGTGGCAAATAACGTTTGTCTTGTGGGCCAACTCCACTTGATTGGTAGAGGCTGCCCCAGAGCCTCGTGCTTAAAAAGCTGCATCTTCACTCCGATCAATTGGTATTTGCTTTTTTTGTTTGTTTGTTTTGACAGCTGGCTATTAAGAGGATCCAACTCTCGACCTTGGTGTTATCAACACTGCTTTCTTTTTTTTTTTTTTTTTTTTAAAGATGACCAGTAAGGGGATCTTAACCCTTGACGTGGTGTTGTCAGCACCACGCTCTCCCAAGTGAGCTAACCGGCCATCCCTATATAGGGATCCGAACCCATGGCCTTCGTGTTTTCAGCACCACACTCTCCCAAGTGAGCCACAGGCCGGCACTTATCCACACTGCTTTCTAACCAACTGAGCTAACCAACCGGCTAGCCTTTGACCAATTGGTAAAGTCTGGGCTGGCTGGTTAGCTCAGTTGGTTAGAGTGCAGCCTTATAACACCAAGGTAATGGGTTCAGATCCCCGTACCAGCCAGCTACAAGAAAAAAATTGGTAATGTCTGCCGTGTTCATGGAGACAGACATTGGTGGTTGCTGTGCCTTGTATTTACCAACTCAGTAATGGATGATGGTAAAGTACCCACCCAGCTCAGATAACCTGTAGTAGCTTTAAGTATTAGCGATCAGCCACTTACAAGGTCCCAAGCTGGAGCTGAATCTTGGGGGCTCCAGGGCCTGGTAGGGTGGGGAATCATTCCCAAAGTCAGGCCTGGAACCTAACAGCGATGTCATGACCCTTCTAAGGAGCTCTCTGCATTGGTTGATGGGGGCAGGGGTAAGGAAGAGGAGGGGTTGATGGGAGTGTTGGTGGCAGGGCTTGGCCTGTTGGTGCTGGGCTTGCCCCCCGTTGATGTTCCCCCTCCCTAATGACACTCCCCCCACTTCCCTTGTCTCCTCAGCTGCAGCAAAAGGCTGTGGCTAGTGAGATCTTCAAGGGCAAGAAGGATAATTACCCCCAGAGCGTCCCCAGGCTCTTCATCAGCACACGGCTTGGTGAGCCCTTGCTTTCTCGTACTCAGCCTTCCATCATCATCCCATTCCCTCCTGCCTCTTCTAATTTCTCTCTCCCCATCTGGGTTGCAGGCGCAGATGAGATCAGCCCCAGAGTGCTGCAGGCCCTGGGCTCTGAGCCCATCCAGGTAAGACCCTGCCTGCAGCTTTTAGTCCAGAATAATTCTGCTGCCCAAGGCATGGCATGGGCAGAGAATAAGGAGGTTATCTCTGGATCCCTTCAGCCCCTCTCCTGGCCCTCACTCTGCCCTCTGTCCCCAGTATGCTGTGCCTGTAGTGAAGTATGATCGCAAGGGCTATAAGCCTCGCTCCAGGCAGCTGCTGCTCACGCCTAGTGCCGTGTTCATCGTGGAGGATGCCAAAATCAAGCAGAGGATTCATTACGCCAACCTGACCGGTCAGCCAGAGTCCCAGGCTGCAAGGGAGGGCCCCTGTCTGACCCTTGATTTCTGACCTCTGCCTTTCCCCCTCAGGAATCTCCGTCAGCAGCCTAAGTGACAGCCTGTTTGTGCTTCATGTGCAGCGTGAGGACAATAAGCAGAAGGTGCTCCTTTGGGGATTGGAAGGTGGGGGAGGGGGGAGGCAGTCCTCTGGCTCTGGGCGGGACCTAAGAACCTCCTCCTGTCTGGGCCCCCCAGGGGGATGTGGTGCTGCAGAGTGACCACGTGATTGAGACACTGACCAAGACAGCTCTCAGCGCTGACTGCGTAAACAACATCAACATTAACCAGGGCAGGTGAGGCGGGTTGGGTAGTGAGTGGGCCATGCAGGCTTGGGACAGGGCAGGACAAGAACACGGGAAGGCTTCACGCGCTCTTTTCCCTCCAGCATCACATTTGCAGGGGGCCCCGGCAGGGATGGCATTATTGACTTCACACCCGGCTCAGAGCTGCTCATCACCAAGGCCAAGAACGGGCACCTGGCTGTGGTGAGTGGACCTGGAAGGCAATTCCTTGCTTCCCTACTGATAGCCCTAGAGCTGGGAGGAGTCTGCAATGGCAGCAGCCTTCCTTGGCAGTGCTTGGCCGAGTCTGGGCACCTTACCCATGGGCCTCAGTCTGGAAGTCACCATATCATCCCCTTATCCCGTGGCCCACCATGAAGGCCAGAGAGAGGGGCCATTTGAACCTCCATGTGCAGAGGGTCATAGAGATGGCAGCATGGGGATGTGGGGAAGATCTAGGGTCACTGACGGGAAAGGCCTACTCTGGCCAGGGCAGTAGGTATTCCTATGGGAGGAGGAGTAAACCCAAGACCAAAGCCACTGGGCCCCCCAGTCTGCTGAGGCCTATATCTAGCCTGTGAATACAAACACTCTGAACTCCTCTGTCTGCTTCTGCTCACTACTTGGGCTTCTCCCTGTACCCCCACAGGTAGCCCCACGGCTGAATTCTCGGTGATGAAGGCACCCACTGGACCCCTCCCAACTCCCAATGCTTTGCTTATTTCCTCCTCCCCTCCCCAGTTACCAAAGACTCGAGCTTCCAGACAGGGACCCAGGGACACCTTGAAGCCCACCTGCAAACTCCTGTCTCCTGCTCACCCCTCTTTTGAAAGAGCAGGGGGTTCAGGGAGCTACCCTAGGAGTGGGCCAGGCCGGGCCACAGCAATAGGAAAGCTCGGGCTAGAGCAAGACATGCCAGCCCAACTGTCAATGCCAAATATTTGAGAGAAGGGAACTTTTTCTGAAGTTTTCTCTGAGATTTTTTGATGCTCTATAGGAAACTTATTTTTTAAAAAAGCCATTTTCCCACCGCAAGACACACTGGATGTGTTTTCCCTGACTCCAACAGGGCAAGGAATGTAGCTGAGAGGTTGGTCTGGTGCCCTCTTCCCTGGCCAGGCCACTTCTCCTCCTTGTTCCTTTGGCACCTTGTCTGTCTGCCTACCCACCTGCACATTTTGCAGCCCGCTCTGACCTCCACCTGGGGACTGAGACCATCTTTGTCTGCCCCCTTTTTCCTTCCTTAAGAATGCCCTTTTAAAATCATCATCCTAGTCTGAGGGCGTCCCGGAATGGGAAAGAAGTCTTAGACCAGAGAATCTGGAAAACTCTATTATCTGTCCAGCCCTCTGGTGTTACAGAGCAGGACACAGAGGCTCAAAGAGAAGGGTCTTGCCCAAGGTCTTATAGCAGGTTGTGGCAAAACACGGATGGCAGCCCTGTCTTCAGTACACCTCACTGCCGCTCCCAGGGACAGGGAGCCCCATGAAACATGGGTCATGTCTTAAGTGTGCATCTGGCCCCCTGACCAGCAACCACCCTTGGGGGCCATCAGGTGGGAGGAACACTTCTGCCTGAGTCCATGCCTTAGGATGACAAACACCCTGCCCATACACTTTGGCCCCAATTCAAGGATGTAGGGCCTTTATTGGCCTCTGACCTCTCCCTGGCATGGGAGTCTGGGGAAGGAGCTGGCCTTGGGAGGAGCTGCAGGGGCATCACCTCTTTCTGCTGCTTCCCCCCACAACACCCCCAAAGGGTCTGGGGGCTGCCCAGCTGCCTCTGTGCCCTTCTGGGGGTCTCAGCCCACTGCTGACACTTCTGCAGTCCAGAGAAACACTAAATAAAGCAATATGTGTTTGCCAACATGGTCTCCTTGTGAATATTAGGAAAGAGGGCCCCATCTTAGTCTGTTTTCTTTCCTCTTTCCTTTTTTTTTTGGCAGCTGGCCAGTATGGGGATCTGAACCCTTGACATTCGTGTTATCAGCACCATGCTTTAACCAAGTGAGCTAACCGGCCAGCCCTTATTTCATTTTCTTGTTGCTTATAACAAAATACCTGAAACTGCGTAATTTATAAAGAAATAAAATTTATTTCTTATAGTTTTGGAGGCTGGGAAGTCCAAGGTCGAGGGGGCACATCTGCACAGAGTCCCAAGGTGGTGCAGGGCATCACCTGGTGAGAGGGCAGAAGTGCACTTATGTGCTAGCTCAGTTCTTCCTCTTCTTACAAAGTCACCAGTTCTACGCCCGTGATGATCCATTAACCTATTAACCCATTAATCCAACAGTCCACGAACTGATTAATCTATCAATGAGGGCATAGGCCTCATGATCTGATCACCCCCTGAAGGCCCCACTTCTCAATACTGCTACACTAAGACTTCAGTTTCAACATGAATTTTGTTTGTCTTTTTTTAAAAAAGATGACCGTTAAGGGGACCTCAACCCTTGGCTTGGTGTTGTCAGCACCATGCTCAGCCAGTGAGCCAACCGGCCATCCCTACATAGGATCCAAACCTGTGGCCTTGGTGTTATCAGCACCGCACTCTCCCAAGTGAGCCACAGGCCGGCCCTCAACATGAGTTTTGACCACAGACAAATATTCAAACCATAGCAGCTCCTAAAGAGCAACCAGCGGACTTGTATAGCAATTTCTATCTTGTCCCCAGAAGGAATGAGGCTGGCTCCCTCCCTGGGGTAGAGAGCAGTAGCTACCAATAGCTGTATTTGACTCGCTCTTTCACTGACTGCGTACTGAAGGGCAGCTCAGCCTGGCTCGGTGCTGTGGGCTGGGGACAGAGAAGTATCACACACAGTCCCTGCCCGCGTGGTCCTCAGCTGAGTGGGCAGGGCTGGTGTGGATAGTGTGGGTAGTGCAAGAGAGACTGGCTCACGTGAGAAAGGGAAGTGTGGGGGAGAGTAGACATTACATAGAGTAGATAACATTCGAGGTGAGTCTCAAAGGATCGTCCCCTAATCTAAATTTTGTTGCAAGTGACAAACCCAATCCAAACTGGCTTGGTCAGAAAAGGGCATGTATTATTAGCGTTAGTAACTTAACGTTAGTAACGTAACGGTCTGGGGTAGGGCTGCTTCTAAGTGCTCAAACAACATTGTCAGGAATGTGTCTGAAACCATTTCTTGGCTCAGCCTTCTTCTATGGTGGCTACATTCTCAAGCAGGTTCTCCCCTGATGGTGAGGTGGCAGCAACAGCCACCAACAGCTCCTGGCTTTTATTCTTCAAGTTTAGCATCAGAAAGTGCCTCTTTCCCAATAATTTTTTTTTTTTTTTTTTTGGTGGCTGGCTGATAATGGGGATCTGAACCCTTAGACCTTGGTGTTACAAGTCTGTGCTCCAATCAGCTGAGCTAATCAGCCAACCCTTGTTCCTGGTAATTTTTAAATCTCAGAGCCGAGTCTCAGTGAACTAACTAATTTGAATGAGGTGCTCTGCGCTCATTGTAGTTAAAGAGATGAGCATATTCAGATAGGCCAGGCTTGGGTCACATGCTTGTCCCTGCAGTCAGAAGCTATGTGAACCACACCCTACTGCAAGGACCAAGAGTAGGAGTAGATAACTCCCCAAAAGAAAGTCAGAGTGTTGCCTCCAGGAGAAAGGGAATGAATGCTGCGAGCTGCCACCATGGAGCTCATCAGCAGACGGCTGAGAGTGTTCCCAAGGGGGCAGTGCTTTGCGGGCAGAAGAAACTGCGCACACAAGGTTAGAGGCAAGAAAATGTTTAGTTTGTGGTCAGGCTACCTGCCTGAGGAGTGTATGTATTTTGCAGCTGGCCTGTATGCCTAAGGAGTTCAGATTCATCACCTAGGGCAGAAGTTCTCAAAGAATGAAATACCACATGGTGTATAACTATCTTGGGCTCAATTGATGACATCCTGTGAGAACATCTAGATTTTGGTACCTTCCTCCAAAATTAATTTAAGGAAAAATAAAAGCACCATAATCATTTGTCCACTCTATCACAAGTAACAGTGGCTCCAAGAAGCTGATGGATAAGATAGGCATTGAGTTAGGTCCAATTACCAGCTTTATAACTGTAACAACACTCCTGTAGCAAAGTGGAATGCACATGAGTGTGATGTCACAGACATAAGAAAGATGTCAGCCAAGGACACTCTGTCCTTTGGAGAGGTAACCAAGAATGGTTTGCACCCTCAGTTCACATCCTGAGGGAAGTTCAATGGGGCCTTCTAGAAGATGTCTGCCAATTGTAGGATGCTAATTTTGGCTCTGGACAAGAGCTTCCACTGGACCTCCATTCATCCATTCATTCATGCAACCATTTGTTGAATGCCTATTATGCACCAGACTCTCTGTTAGGCACCTGGGATGTAGAAGGAACAACATAAAAGACCCAAATCCTTGCTCTCATGGAGCTTACATTCTAGAGGGGATGAGAGACAACACGTAAAATATAGAATGTATTAAAAGGAGATAAGTGCTAGGAAAATACAACAGAGAAGGGGAGAGGGAGTACTGATATGTAGTTCTCAGTTTCAAATGGACTGTCAGTGAAGGCGTCACTGAGGTGACATTGGAACACAGATTTGAAGAAGGAGAGGAAGTGACTGCTGGCTATCTGGAGCAAGAGTGGTCCAGGTAGAGGGTTGAAGAACATGAGGGCTTATTAGAGGAAAAGTGAGAAGGTTGTTGGGGTCAGAGTAGAGGAACCTCCTTCAGATGTTCTCGATTTTTCTCAGCTCCATGAGGATGGAGACAAGGAAATTGGCACCTTCTCCTTGATTCCACACTCCCTCCCCCAAAATAAAGGTAGTTGTGTGAGCAGCTTGAAGGGAGTTCATATTTCAGGAAAGCAAATAACCCATTCTCAATGGTCCTATAGCCATGTCACCACTGGGAACATCTCACTGACCCTTCTGGCAAGGTCCAGCCTCCTGTCTGCATTTCCAGTCCCCTTTCCACCCCTAGACCCTCCTCGAAGTACCCTCAGATGTCTTCCCAGAGCTTTCCCCTACTGTCTGCCTCCAGACCCTAACTTTGCACATTTTAATCATCGTTTCTGCAAAACTGAAGGACTACTCATTGGGGAGTGGGGCATCCCTTTTTCATAGTTCAGAAACTCCAGCAGAGACTTGGAAATTTCCATCTCCTTTCTCCCTATCTCCATTCGTGGATGAGAACAGAACTGTACTTTCTCACTAATACAAGTTGTGCCTGACACGCTCACCCAGCTTTTCTCTTTCTTTCTTGTACACACATGCTTTGGAAGGCAATACTGTCAGTTTTCTCTTTAAATAGCAATTTTTGCCATCTTGCTACAAATAATCTTCTGCTTGCTTTTTTTAAAAGGAAAAGTGGGAATAAGTAGCTTCATCTCCAGAGTGTTGCATTTACATAGTACCCTGAAGTCGTGCAGTACACAGCTGTTATGATGCAGCTCTGGTCAATTTAGGGGAAACAGAACAGGCAGGCAAGCTCCTGCTTCTCTTCCATTGCTAAAATAAGGAATGCATTTCTTTGTTCAGGAGAGTAGGAGGTGGAGGACTTTGGCGTATTTTTCTCTTGGACAGGGCACCCTTCCCTTTCTTCTCCCCTTTGACATCTACTTCTCCTTCAGGTACCTCTCTTCTCCCCCATCCCTCCACCCTAAACACACACCAGGAGCCTCTCCTAAGCAAGGAGGTCACTTTCTTTGTAGAGCAGGTCTCAGGCTTACCAGGGACAAAAGCCACCATTATAGCTGCAAATCCTTATGTTTGAAGGGGAGGCGAGGAGGAGGAGAAAAGAAAGGAGAGAAGAGAGGGAGGGCTTGCTAACTTCTTGTCCCAAGGCCACTCCTGTTCATACATTGTTGACCTCTGAATAGGTAGATTCTCTTTCACCAAGGAAGGACACACTCGAGTGGCTCCTTGCAGCTGGGTCTCCCCTTCTTGCCAATCTTCTTGCTTATTTTTCAGCCCAGTTATGATTTTTCTTTCTTTCTTCTTATTCTTCTTTTAAAATATTTTTTTCCTGTTATTTCCATTTCCCCTAGGGAGGGGGCTTGGAGGTACAACTTTGGAACCTCACAGGCAGTCTCTGGGTAAGGTCCTGTCTCAAAGTCTGGCCATCCTGAGAAATAAAGCACAGGCAGTCCTGTTTCCCAAAGGGCCAGAATTCACACTGGGATGGCTTCTACTGGCTGGCTTGTAACGACATGCCGTGACTAATCCAGGGTCACGATGAGTCACCCACAGCAGGGAAGGTGCCCTTGTCCCTGCCCCCCACTTCCCAGAGTGGGTCCAGGGGTGTGTGTGTGTGAGGTGGGTCCAGAAGAGCTGTAATTCATTAGAATATAATCCAGGGCTGACTGACTTTTTTAAAATGTAGATTTCAGGCCAGCCCATGGCTCACTTGGGAGAGTGTGGTGCTGATAACAACAAGGCCACAGGTTTGGATCCCTATATAGGGATGACTGGTTTGCTCACTTGGGAGAGCGTGGTGCTGACAACACCAAGTCAGGGGTTAAGATCTCCTTACTGGTCATCTTTAAAAAATAATAATAATAAATAAATAAAATATAGATTTCTGCCACCCCCCAATTCCTATCTCAGAAATTTGAGGATATAGCAGAGTGACCATAGCTCTCTCCTTCTAGGATTTGAATCCCAGCTCTGCACTCAGCAGTTGTGTGTCTCTGGACAAGTAACTTAAACTCTCTGAACTCCAGTTTTCTCATCTGTAAAATGGGGATAGCTGCAAATTACTGGCCCATAAGGTAATTGGGAGGATTAAATGAGAAAGGCATTTAAAGGCAATTAGCACCATGTCTGGCAGGTAATGATCCCTGAATATATACCAGCTGTTATTATGAAACATTTATGGAGTACCTCCTAGATCAG